ATTAGGCCACTCTTTCCATTACATTCCAGTCAGTTGTGTGGCCAGTAAGGGATATGTTTATCTATCTCCGATCTTTCCACACCACTCGACAAACGTCGAGGGATTGACTTCACTTGTCTTTTTGACGAGTTCGTAGCTTGGTGCGGAGAATGGCAAAACTCACTGAATGTGCCGACTACGATCCCGGCGAAACGTTGGAGAAGGTACCATTTCCACTGGCTGAGGCTGGGAATTATGACAACTACTATGGCAGACGACTTCGGACTAGGTGCGTTCTACTAAGTCGCCCTTACAACAAGACCAAGTTGCGACAACGAGGTCAACCCACTTCTATAAATCGATGGGAGACTGCAACCATAACAGAGACCACAACATCTTGGTCTTCATATCTTCAAGGATATACAGCCCAAGATGGTGTGGCCTTCTGTATGTTCGAAGTGTGTGTTTACCCTCCTAGTATTGATGGTTCAACCTTGTCTTAGCAACTTGGTCGGAGGGTCAGGGAGACTTTGTGGAACGTACCTAGTCCCGTGTCCTCTGCCACAGTATTCGTGCCTTCCAGCATTGGACCATTGGCTGGGTACACTCAAAAACGCTTCGCCGGCATCGTCAATGAGAGGCGCCATCGTAAGTACAGAATTACAACTTACCAACTGACACTTCTGTCCTTATGATGGCGCCTCCCACTAACGATGTCGACCAGGATGCCGGCGAAGCGCTTTGGAGTGTACCCAACCAAAGGTCCAATGCTGGAAGGCACGAGTACTATGGCAGAGGACACGGGACTAGGTACGTTCCACAAGGTCTCCCTGAAGCTCCAACGTTTCGCTGGCACCATACTCGGCATTGTCCGAGAGAAGCGTCATCGTCAGTACAGAGTTACAACTTATAAAGTGACAAGTGAAGTCAATCCTTTTTACCAATTTTTAGTTCACCCGTTGTGGAATTACTCCCCACTCCTATTTTTATCCTCTTTTGACTCTACTTCATCTTGTCAATTTACCTATTCCCAATATTCTATGCTCTCTTCTCTTCCAATGTCGCCTAAGAGCGTGTCGCTTCCACGGGTTTTTAATGAAACTTGCAGGGATTATGAGTATTCGTATAAGAGTAGGGTTTCGAGACTACCAGTAAATCAGTGTAATGAGATGTATTCACCCTATTTCGTGTAAGTTGATGAAGGACTGGTAGTAGAATTGTCCCACAATGATATGAGTTTAGCTGACTTTTCCATTGAATTTTCACATTAAGGGAATGGTAGTAGAATTTTCCCACAATGATATGAGTTAAGCTGACTTTTTCCATTGAATTTCACATAGCCTTGCAAGTAGAATTTTCCCACAATGATATGAGTTGAGCTGACGTTTCCATTGAATTTCATATAGTATTGCTTTCCCAATTAGAATTTTCCCACAATGATATGAGTTGAGCTGACGTTTCCATTGAATTTCACATAGCCTTGCTTTCCCATCGAATTTTCCCACAATGATATGAGTTGAGCTGACGTTTCCATTGAATTTCACATAGCCTTGCTTTCCCAAAGTAGATATGAGTTTAGCTGACTTTTCCATTGAATTTCACATAGCCTTGCTTTCCCAAAGATTTTCCCACAATGATATGAGTTGAGCTGACGTTTCCATTGAATTTCACATAGCCTTGCTTTCC